TGTGGATATATCCTGTTCTACAACTTGCTCTGATATCTGGTGCAGAGCTAGGTCTCGATATTTTCCTTTGACGTCTTCATGATTGAAACCCAGGCGAATAGGCAGCTCAGGCCGACTGGTAATGAAAATCTTCAGAGGTACGGGGCGTACCACCTTTGCTTGCGCGAGGAGGGTGATGACTGTCTCCACATCGTCGTCTCTATCACATTCGTCGAGAGCGTCAATGATGATCACAACTGGCGTAGTGTGGCGAATGCAGCCAAGCGGTTGGAGGATGAGCTTTTCGAACTGGTCTCTCAGGGCCTTCCTAGGAACGTCCGGGTCGGCATCGATGGCCTCTCTGACGGAAGGTACCAGGTCAGGGATTTTACGCACAAGCTGACGAGCAATGGTAGGGAAAACCAAGCCAGCCTTGCCGCGATCGCCTTCCCCCCTTTTGAAGAAGAAGCTCGCGCCAAGCAGGCCATCGTCTGCGAACGAGTTGGCCACGGTCCGAGAGATGGTGGATTTTCCTGTTCCAGCCCTGCCATTCAGCCAGAATATGCTCTCGGCTTGAGGATCGTTTGCCCACTCCTGGATTTGGCGAAGGAGCTCGGTTCGGGTGTCGGGGTGGCATCGTGCGTTGTGCTCCTCGGCGTGCGAGTCGAAGGCCGCGCCACTTGCGACCGGGAGCATTGCTAGGTCGACCTTAGAGTGGATATCAAGAATTTCGGTGCTAGAAATTGCTGTTAGCTACGTATCGACCAAGATATAAGGTCTGCGCGTACGTTTGATCAATCTGAAGGGCGGCCGCAAAAGAGTCTTGGTATCGCTGAAGGTTCGCAATGATCTTGTCCATGTCCTTGCTCTCGAACGGCCACTTCAAGGCTCGCAGTCCCACGCGTCTCATCGCCTTCCCTGTGCGACCATGTAGTTTCGCTTCCAGCTTCGTAGCGACATCACCAAGCTGCGAGCGGGTGTCGTTAAGGGTTTCGCGCAGCTTCTGCGAAGTCCCGAGCCGAGCTCCATGTGGACCTTGGAGAAGCTTTTGCGCGCCTTCAGCGGTTGCCTTCAGGCTGTCGGTATGTTTTTTCAGGCGCTCGATGTCGGACCTGGCGCTCTTGACGGCGGACGAGTATTCGAGACAGAGAGAGCCGACCTTGGCGGCCAGCTGGACGACCGCGATGACGCTTGCGGCGGCCTCCATCGTGTCGCGAAACAACGGAACGATTGACGTATGGTACGAGTTGAGGAATTCGTTCGGAAAAGCGACGGAGGATCGTGGTTACAGCATTCTGTGC